TTTCCTTGGTGACGGGTTAAGAAAACTAAAAAAAAAAATCTACGCTCTGGCGATCAATGGCAGCGCACCGACTTTGAGCGCAGGAGTTTGGTACATCAAGCCGAATCACCGGCTCGACGCACTTTGGGGCACCACCACTGCATACAGCTGCATGCCACATTTCGAGTGGTTTGCTTTCACGCCTCACGGCGTCACCTCTAAGGAAGGGGTTAAATGCCCAGTGAGTGTGATCACCCTTCAAGAGCTGTGTGCCGTTCTGGAGAATCATTTCCATCCCCCCAGCCTCCAGCAGAAATCCTTATGGTTCATTTCACCTGCCTCTCAAGCAAAAAATTTTCATAATGTGAAGGTCACATCACCTGGATCCTATAGGTCAAATGAGGCTAGTTATTTCTTCACTGTAAGATTAAATTTTAAATTTTTTTGTTGAAGTACATTTTTTGGAAATTTATATAGTATGATCATGAATACTTGGCATTAGAGGTACATTAGAGAAGTGTGGGAAAATTTGTCATCATGTTTTGTTGGATTTGTTGAAATTGGGAAATAACTGATAATAGATATGTTATATATAACATATAATGTGATAAAGATTATTTTCATTATAAATTGTATGGTATTCAATTGTATTTATATGTATTAACCTAATGCTGCCATGAATGTTTAATGTTCACTATATTTCTGTTGTATGTTGTGTGTTTACACATAGATGGCTCCACAAGTGCTCAGCCACCAAGGAGTCAATCAGTAGACCTACATCACCTGATTTCCACATTCCTTGAATTTTTATTTTTTTTCTTATTACCATTAACCCCTTCCCTATGGGTGACGCCGATAGGCGTGATAACAAACTGCTCGGAAGCTGGTGTGCGGCTGTACGCCGCGGTGGCACGCCAAAGCGTGGCAAGCCAGTGATTCAGGCTGATGTACCGAACTCATGCGCTCAAAGTCGGCGCACTGCCTTTGTTTGCCAGAGCGTAGAGTTTTTTTTTTGGTTTTCTTCACCCATCACCATTGGGTTAATATCAATGCTATAATTATTATTATTGACATTATATGTATTATAATGTAATTGACAATACAAATTCCAATTTTGAATAAAAGATATATTTGCAAATATTCCAGGAAGAAGGTAAACAGGTGAGATAAGTAGTACTAATATTGACTCCTTAGCAATTGTGGAATCATCTTTGTGTAAACACAATTAATAAACTAAACTCACAATGGACATGGTATGTACATACATGCTACCCACAGTAGAAGTGGGTTAATGTTGTAAGTAACCAATTCATGTCAGTAGGCAACTATATGAAGGAGAGGAGGGGATCCAAGAGGAAGCAGACAGGAGAGAGGATCATAGATGAAAGCTTGGAGATGGAAATAGAGGAAAGAGTGTATGGAAGTAGAAGCCACTTAGAGATGCAGGCTAAAGACCAATGGAGTAGCATGAGGTATAGGGGCAGAGGAGATAGCTCTCTGTGGCCTTGAGGCTGGAGGAAATATGCCAAATTAGAACCAGATATTCAAGGTTACTCTTACTACATCCCATTCACTCCAGTGTAGAGTCAAGAAAATTAATGCTGTAATGTTGCACTGTGAGGAGAGATGTACCTTTGTGATTGATCAAGGTGACTTGGGACTTGAGGGGTTTAAGATATCAGTTTTATCTTTATATTATTTTTGTTATTGTGTTTGACATATGTTTAATCTCTCTTTCTATTTTTTATTTATTTATTTATTCATTTTATATAGTATATACATTTACCAGATATGAAGTAGTAACATGTGTAATTGATATAAATTTCCTTCAACAAACCATTGAACTATTACTTTTCCATAAGTTGATGAGTGAAATGTAATCTTTGATCGAAATATTGATAATAATCATATCATGTTTAACTAGGATATCTTTTTTATGATAACTATTTGTAAGCGCACCTTTTATTGCACAGAATTACCTTTTATTACATATAATACATACTTAACACTGATGATGAGTACTAAGCCTTTGAAAATAAGTCCATAATTACCAGTAGTATCTCTAGCATTAAAAAAAAAAATATATATATATATATTATGTTTATCATTTTGTTTATCATCATCTTTTCCAAAGGTTTAACATATGAAAGTCACTTTGGTTTTTCTTTTTAAAATATTGTGTACTTTATGTATGTACAGATAGTCCCCTACTTAAGAACATTCTACTTATGAACATTCCATACATACAAACACAATTTTTTAAGTACTGAAGTCCAAAAAATTGTTTGAAAGATGCTAGCAAACTTCAGATTTCCCAGGCACGAATATAGTTCAAGAGTCTGGTACTGTATAAGGTATGTCGTACTTATTGGGATTTATTTACAGGTATTCTTAATGTAAACAAAACTTTAAAACAATGGGAAAAAAGGTAATGGAGACCCGACTTTCGACATACAAACAAATCAACTTACAAACAGCCTCTTGGTCCCCATTATGTTCTTAAATTGGGGACTTACTGTATCATATTTTAATATTTTGATTATCTGTCTGCACTTAAGCATTTTATATTGTCTCTCTCTTTACATGTTGTTCGTAAGTAATATTCATACAGTTGCATCATAGCTTACATCAATGTAGAAGGACAAAGTACAGAAAATGCAGAAACACTGATAAAGCAATTTTTCTTCCCAGCTCATCCAGCACCGGAGAATGCACACGGGAGAGAAGCCTCACCTCTGCCCATTCTGCCCGTATCGTGCTGCACGGCGAGATAACTTGCGGTCGCACGTAAGACGCATGCACAAGAGAGAAAACATGTACGGTGACACTTTTACGCCCAGGCCCCTCCTACTGGCTGAGGCAGACATCCGGGAACACCTGCCCAACCAAGTAGACCACCAGCAGGTCCCCGGCACTCCTCTCCCAGGCCCAGCGCAGCCGCACCCCCCACCACAGGCTCCCTTATAATCCGTGTGGGGATAGCTCTAGGTTGAAGGGCAGAGCTATTTATCCTAATTCTTATGAAAGGCTCTTAATACTGTATCCTGTGTCTTATTTATTGTCATGTTCTCTCTCAGTGTACCAAACCAGTGTGCCATTATGTGTTTTAAGGGTCACCTGGATGAATGATGGCTTTGATTAGGGTCAATGGGTGATCCACTCCCACAGGAAAATGAACACAGGATGAGGTCATGAAGGTATTCAAAGATCTTTTTTTTTTTTTTTTTTTTTTCTGTTTTTGGTAGAGAGGCACTTCCCTTATTATTAATCTGCAGTCAACTGTATGAGGAAAAGATTCTTTTGTCTCCCACTTTCAAAAAGTTAGACTTGTGTGAGTCTGAGATAAGATAGTGATCTGGACATTAGTTTGCTTGTGGACTAAAAAGAAAAATCTTAAAAAAAGGTTTTATTTGGTTTGAATATATAGAGAATATTATATTGAGTTGATAGTTATCAAAATTATTAAAGATAGTTTATTTCTTTTATTTTATTTGATATTGGCTCCTAGAGTCCTTGGTACCGGTGGTTTTCGGTAATTAATAATCATTTGCCTTTGAAAAAGCTAATGAATAATTAGAAAATATCTATTTGGAAAGTCAGCATTCGTCTATAACGGATTGTTTCTCAAAATTGTGTAAGGTGGTTTTCATTGTTGTATAAGCTTACTAAAAATGATGGTTTGGCTTTAGTGCAGAGCATTTATTTCCAAGATTGAGCTGCTGGGGCATTTTAGATGAGTGTGTTTGCAGAATTGTAGGTGTTACAATGGTAGCAGAGAGATATTGTGTTCATAAGCAGTTCCTCTTGGTATAGTGCAAAGACTTTGATTATTAAATGTTTCAAATTTCAGCCACACTTTTAGACCTTATGTGTATAGTGTGTGGAGTCATGATTAATTGTTGAAGGAAACCTAAGGAAGATTGGTTCTTGGTTAGTCACATCAAAGTTAGAGAAGGAGAAAAGAAAAATCAAGACTCTCCCCGACCACCATCCTCACCCACGAAAGTCTATGGACATTTGGTAGGGAATTTGTTTAGTGTGTGGTTTAGTGTCTCTGATGGGCTTGCTGCAGCATGTGTAAGTGGTACTCTAGTGAAGGTGTTCCAGTATTGGGTGTGTAAAATGAGAAACTAGGTGCACATATATGCATTAAGTATATACTGTGACTTGTACCGTAAGTGTAGACAAATCACCTTATGCAAGCATTAATAATGAGAGAGAAAAAAAAATAAGAGTGCAAATCTCAAAAAACAAGCTTTTTGCTTCAAATGTTATATATATTGTTATGTAGATTTGTTATTATTATTATTTTTTTCTTTTTTTGTCCACATTGCATTTTGAGAGGTGAAAATAAAAACAAGTGCAAGAAAGAAACTCTGCCATGAAATTTGTTGGTGTGAAACTAGTAAATCCAAATTGGAAGTAGTAGTTCTCCTATATGGGAGAAATGCGTCTAAAATGATAGAAAGGTATCATCCTGTTAAGAACCATAAGAACTTGACCAGGCGATAATAAGGAAAAGCAAAAAAATTACCTAAAAAAAAAAGTGTTGTGTATATATATCATTAACAAATTTCTTCTTCATATATACAGTAAATCTTAGCCAGAGAGAAATTGGTCGTTTGCTAACATGGATTGTTATCTTTTTGCTGCTCAATATGTAAGTGCATGACCTTAAAATAAGTACATGTTTTAAAGATAGGTACTCTGCTGTGTAAGGAAGGGTGCAGGAGGAAACAGGCTGTGGCCAAGTGAATTGTTACCCACATACCCTTGTGTAGAGGATATGCCCCTTTTTGCCTTTCATTTTATTTATTTCATTGTGTTTCGATGAACATTATTTGCAATGTTTGTGTGGCCCTCCTCATTCCCCCTTTGGGCAACTGAGAGGGTTGCGAAGGAGCAAACTTCGGCTAATCGCGTCTTCAGCTGCTAGGTCAGAAATGTAATAGAAGAAAGTTCTACATTGTTTATAGCTTTCCAGAGCTATGCAAAAGGAAGGCTAAGTATTTATTATTATTATTATTATTATTATTATTATTATTATTATTATTATTATTATTATTATTATTATTATTATTATTATTTTATTATTATTATCATTATTATTATTATTATCATCATCTTTATTATCATAATTATCATTGTAACTACTATTATAGTTACTATTACTATTATTGCTTTTATTATTATTACAGTTTTTATATTATTATTATTACTATTAGTAGTAATATTGTCATAACCATATCACAAAGTGGTTAAAGAACCTTGGCATTAACCCAAGTTTGCTCACAATTTAAACTATAATATCTACCTCAGGATAATCAATGTACATCCCTTACCTCAAGACTTCTCTCACATCGGCTCAGAAGGCTGGGTGAGGCACTGTGGATCAACAGCTCAACACCGCGGCATTGTTATAGTGTTAATATACTCCTGTGTGTTTGTATGTTGTTGCTACGCCCAGTGTTTCACATCCATCGTAAATGGAAGCCGGAGTTGGTTGCAGATGCGGTCGTTGTTACCTCTTGCTCAGGATTACGTTTTGAACAACTCAGGTATGTCTTGTTCATGATATTTGCAATTCTCCAGTGTAATTTAGCTCAGGATTTTATCAATTAAGTCAAAATATGTACAAATGACAGGTTACAAACATGGTTATCAATTGTGTATCTCAGGAATCTTACTTAGTACAATATCAAACGGATTCATCAAGTGTGATGGAAGTTGGCGTGCCTTGGCAACTCTGAGGTTGTTTTTAAATACAATTTTGCCAAATAGTGAGACCTCAGTGCTGTCAGTGCCGCAAACTTCACCTAATACTTATCAAAGAAAGTCCTCGTGAGTTGTGATCGTAGGTGTATAATATAGCACACTCATTGGGGACTGCAGGTGATGACGTTGCAGGAGTAGACATTATTTTGCCAATGACCTATTTACGTTGTTACTTTTTGGTACCCTTGTTTAATGTGTGCATTACGTCGCCATTGGTATTGATGCATTATATTATTATTACTATTACAATTTATATTTTCCAACTAAGGATGTTGTTTTACATTTTGAAAATTCTGATATATCATAAATGTAGTAAGTTAGTATCTAAGATAATCACTGATGTTGATTGTTTCTCTTGATTTGAAGAAGAAAGAAGAAAAGGAAGTAAAAAAATAACTTTTGGGTTAATGCATCTTAAAATGAAGACCTTTTTAGCTTTTAAGAAGGTAATTTTTCTCCTTTATTTGTTATTACTGTTATGTGTATGCAGTGCCTTTTGAGTTAAGGCATGGTGCAGTACATACATGAAGACTCAGGTACATGCCACAGCAACAAGGTACAAATATTAAAAAGAGATATTTCTACATTCAGCATTCAAGAGCTACAAGGGCATGATATTTTCTTATCTCAGGAAAAATAATTTTAAGGGTATGAGCTCTTTATAATGTTTTCATTTCCTTTCCATCCTTGTGTGATGGAGGTTCAGTAAACATGAGAATGTTGTCAGCAAAGTCCATTTTGGAGTTTGTTGCCTTGTGTATGGTTTTACTTTTTATTATTGAGTTTTCATGGTTCCATGCCTTGGCAAACCGTTGCATTACCAAAGCAGCTATCTATGATTTCTATTTATCCTTTTATCTTGTCACTTGACCTGATATAGGAAGACATCCTTAATCTGTTGAACTTCTGCAGATCTTTATCTATTCAGCATACCTTTTTTGTCTTTACATTTATTCTAGGCTTTATGCAGAAGTTTCGGCTCAATTTCTCATGATTCATTACGGGTAATTTTTGTGTTTGTTTATTTTATTGTAAACTTTTTGATGCCAGCTGTCTTGAGAGTAAGTGCATTATATTGTGAATTTGTGTAATTATATGTTCTTTACTGGGCATGTTTGAATTTAGTGTGAATGAACTTGTTCTTGATAATGTCTAGATTATAGAGTGACAGGACTTGGCAATTTTCTCAGTTCTGCAAATGTAAAAAACAAGATTTTGTTGCAACATGTTCTTGTACCAACAATGTCTTCCTGTTCCTACCATGCACATGATTATGTTCCAAGAGTACATGTTCATAGAATTTACTGACGTGATGCCAATTCCAATTCCTTACTGATATAATTCCAATTCATATGAAATGCAATATCACAGTTCAGGGTTTTCAAATAGTTAGTTCACCTTGCGAGAAACAAGTGTATGCTAATGTACACAGTCTAATGTAATTTTAATCTTCTATGTACTTCAGATGCATGAATTTATTATATGATTATTATTAAGTTCACTGTTTTATTTTTATTTAGGTTTATGATCAGATTCTATAAATTTTGTAGAGTATCTAACTAAATGTCCCTAAGTTCACATTCAGGATTCTTCGTATTGTTTTGGTATGAAGTTATTTTAGGAAATTCTTCCTTTTAACACATGAGTATCTGTGAAAACATTATATCATTTGCAATACCTTTCTTTTTAAAAATAATTATTAAATTATAGAACTGAGCTGCTCAACTACAATATCAATCTATGTAATGTATTTCTCACCTATGAATATCAAACATTTGACTGTTACTTGCCAGTTGTGACTTTCATGAAGTGTTTTCTACAAAGCTTAGATTTTCAAGGGAATTAAGCTCTGTGATGAATCCACTTCTTGTCCCATTAGTCTTTTGCAGATGGTAGTAAAACCATGTTAAAATGTGTGCAATCATTTCATTCATATATCTCTCTATAACTATTTGAAACTGATATTTGCAGAGCTCATATGTGTATAGTACTAATATGACATGAAATCTCTCCCGTCAGAGAAAAGAAAAAAAAAATGATGGTTGAATTTTGCAGAATGAATTTTTTTTGTGTGTGCAAATGTAGTAAGATGCATGTGTTGCTGAATGCCATGAAAAGGGAAAATAAATTTTACCATGAGGTAATCCCTCCCACTCAGGGAAATGTCCACAAATGTATGTGTTTGAAGAGTAAATACCATCAGTAACGGCAACAGCTTACATGTCTCCCTAAATGCACGAAAGTCTAAGGCACTTGATTGGCAAAGTGCGTTTACACCCACATAATATTGTACATAGCTACATAATATGGTTAATGTTGGCAGATTTTAGGAGTGTATAGAAAATTCTCAAGTCAAGTTGGTGTGTATGTGTTATGGTTAAGCTGTATTTTATACTCTTCACCAGTCTATATCATGCTTATGAAAAATAATTTTAAAAAATATTCCTTGATGTAATTTTTTGATAGCACGGGTATATTACTTGTATGCAATAGATTCTGAAGATGCAGATGTGTTCATGAAGTTGGTATTATTATTGATACCAGCTGTTTAGTTACCTCAGTTGTTTCTTTTATTGTACTCTGATTGTGATGACATCCATTTTTTTTTTTTTTTAATTTATTTTAATATAATGGTTATTTTTTTCTTTATTCTTAAAAGCACATAAGAAGTGTAGGTATCATTGAAATGTATCAACATAGGCTCTTGTAAGACATTTTAGTCTACATATTTAGAAAGCCACCATTTTGAGAAGCTGCCAAACTCTATGGATTACAGAGACTTTGAACTTGGCTTTTATACAACTCTTGTTAGAAGAGAAGCATTAGAATTTGAAACTAGTGGTGTGGATATTGATAAAGAAAATGATTTGCTATGTTTGTACCGAGTAAGGAGGAAGAGGAAGTATCTCTTTGCTTTTATTTCAATATGCTTTAACTTTTTACTGGCAATTGTGGGAAACTTATCACAAATGGCCCTTGGCCTTGCTGGTAATTAGTAAATGATGAAAGCGAGAAGCAAATTCTCCAGGAAATTTGTTTTTCGAAATATAAGAACCCTGTAATCCAAAGTGTCAAAAGAATTTTTGACAACCATTTTTTGGCTAGATGTTCCATAAAACTTTATTTTTGCAAATTCCCTTCCCATATTAGTGTTATGAAGGTTTTGCCATGATGTATGGAAAGTGATGAATCCTAAACAATTAATTAGAATGGTTGAAACTATGAATTTGGTCATGCATGTATTTTATGAATCCACTGTCTTATGTGATTGTCTATTCATGGTACAATTTATATGCATTTTTTGACTTGTGGCGCATGATCTGAAACAACGAATAATGGACAGTCAATCCCATATGTCAGTGGTTGTGAGGATTTTATTTGTCCAGATGTATTTTTCACTTTGCACATATTCTGGTAAACCTTGGGAGAGAAATCAAGTAGCTGGAAATTGGCACTAGCTTGTAGTTTGCTAAAAGAATTTTGTTTGTTTTTTTGTTTAAATAGGGTTTTGCTTGATTTTGGTTTTTGAAATTTGATAAAATGCTTAAAGCTTGTAGGAAACTCCCCGGAGAATAATCTTGTAAGATTGATACTGGATAGAGAAAGGGTTTTGAAATTAATCAAAATTAAAATTTAGTAACTTCAAATTTATTGCACAGAGAATTTATTAGATTAGAAAGATCTTTTTACTGATGATTCCAGATGCAGAAAGTGTTTTCATATGGTGACTTAGATTCATCTGAAAGAAGTTATATAAAAAAGAAAAGAAAAAGGAAACTTAAACTAATTATTTTACAGTAAATGAATGTCAGCCAGAATTGTTATTAACTGAAGAATAGTTTTTGTCAGATAGGAAATTACCAAGAGTAATATTAAAGGAAAAAGTAAATCAAGCCAAGGTGAAGTATATAAAGATTTATAAATATATATTATAAATATATGGAAAGTAAAGTATGTTGATGCCCATGTTGATGATTTCCGGTGAGTTGGTAGACAAATTTACATTTTTTTTCTCCCTCCCCCCCCAGTGATGCTATATTGTTTTGAAATTATATTCAGAGTGGAAGTTTATTTCTTATGTTAACTAAGTATCATATTTACTTTGTCTTATATTTTTCATAGATAAATAAATATTCAACCTATGAAACTGTGTTTTTTTCTGGACTTTGCAATATCCTTTTTGGTAAATGGGTGTTTTTTTTTTTGCATTCTGTCATCTTCCTTATCTTTCTCTAGATTTCAAATATTGCAAACTAAGATTTGATAAGAGAAAGTTGAGTACACAGCTAAGAAGAGATTGAACATC